ATAACCTGGGGAGGCCTGGGCAGACATTCAGTGGAACTTCCCCTTGKTTTCTCAGAGCTGGGCCTCGCCCACATTGGGTTGAAGCTCACAGTGATGGCTGACAGACCCCTCTTGCCTTAGCGTCCTGGAGACAGGGGCGTGGCTGACAGTCTTTTCTGCCTGTCCCCTCCTTGTGTGTGGACTGGATGGGCAACGCGGGCAGTTGGTCTCAGCTCAGCGGATTCCCACTGGTGAGAGGAAAGCCCCTGAGGTCGGCTCCCACGAGTGAATCCAGCCGGAGCCCCGCGTGGCAAAGCACACCCCTCTGTGCCCGCCAGGCCRTCCCCCTCCTGTTGGGAGGCCTGATCCTTCTCCCTGCACCCCACCTCCTGTGTCTGTGAGGCACGCTCCCCAATATCTCCAGCTGCCATCCAGGAAAGCCTGGGGGAAGGCCCYTGGAGGCCCCTCCTGCCTCTCCCCACACCTGGTCGGTGCTGTGCCCCGGCTCTGGGTCAGCACCAGATACTGAGAGCAGTCAGACACGGCCGCCTCTCTGTCCCCCATCCATGGACCCGCACAGTGCTGCCTCCCAGGGGCCTGGCACCCTTCAGGGAGCAAAGGAGATGCTGGTTGGATGGACAGTGGACACCCAGCCATGGCTGGTGGCCTAGGGAGCCTTGGGCTCCTGCTGGGTCCCCAGCTGCTGGGGCTGGGAACCTGCTTGGGGAGCCCTCACCTCACACTGCCTCTGCCCGACCTCCTTGCTGAGTGCTGCTCTTCCACGTGCATCCCGAGGAGGCCACCTGGCCTGCAGGGTTTGGGTGGCTGTACAACTGCTATCGCACGACTCCGAGGGACTCCGTCCATATCACTGTCCATAGGAGGGACACAGCAGAGCCTGCACCATCACATGGGGGGCCCTGGTTCTCCACATCCCTCCACTCCTCCAAGGCTGGGGCTCGCCCTCGGCTCCTGGGGTACACGAGGTAGACGTGGAGATGGCCGCAGGGTGCCTGGTGGGGTAAGTAAAGACCACCTTTGAGGGAACTCGCAGRAATTTTTCCTAAAACATTACATCACATAAATCCCCCTGAGGTGGGCATTCCCGAGCGTTTTGGAGGGCGTGACTGTCAGCTCCCATTAGGGTCTGGACCCGTGCCCCAGTGCCTTTACATCCCCTGCATACACRGGAGGAGGTAATGAGGGGAGCCCGGGAAGGCAGTGGCGGGTGCATCTTCAGGAYTGGAATGCCGGGCGCCATTGTTGGGTATTTCTTGGAAAGGCTTCAGAAGCCGAGTGATCCCGGGGAAGTGAGGTGGTGACCGAGACAGCAGATACGAGCTGTGGGACCCCTGAGTGTGCGCCAAGGCTTTGCAGCAGAACAGCTGCTGCCCAGGCACGTGGACCTCTCCAGAGAAGCCCTGGAAGCCCAGCATTTCAGAACAGTCGGTCAAYATCTGGCCAAAGAGGGGGAATGTGGACCGCCCCCCCCCCCCGCTTCCAAGAGTGTTACCTGGTCCCTTCCACAGCCACTGGGCAGTGCAGAGGCCCAGGGTCAGCAGGTGACTGGATCTGCATGCACTTGAACCTAGTCCAGTTTTCTGAAAACAGTGCAAGCCACTTACAAAAATCCTAATTCTGGCAGAGGGTTTGGAGGGGCAGGCAGGAGGGGCAGGTGTGGTCAGCAAGCTCAGCCTTTCTTCACCTTGTGAGCCACAGACATTGTCACTATGACTGGAAGTTGAGGAAAGGGTCACAGCAGTGTCAGTTGCCAGTGTTCAGGAGACCCTGCTTAGGAGCCCCGCCCCCCAGAACCCTGTGACAAAATGCTACCAACTGAGTGTGAAACCACACACTGACCTGCTCGTGGTCTCTGCAGGTGGCCAGGAGTCTGGRAGTGGGTTGGCTGGGCTTTCGGATTAAATTCCCTGGAGCTGCAATCAGGATGTCAGCCAGGGCTGTGTCTCATCTGAAGCCCCTCGGGAGGAGGGCCACTCCCACACCTGCCCAGGTGGTTGGCAGAATTCAGTTTCCTACAGGAGACCACCCGCAGCAACTTGGGGTCACCTGCAGTACCTTGCCACATGGGGTTCCCCAGCGTAGCCACCCACGTCCTCAAAGCCAGTGTAGGAGAAATGAAGCCAGCAAGAAGGCTGCCACCATCTTCCATGACACAGAGTGATGTGCACCTGGTCACACGTGCACCAGCCATCAGCCTTGCTTTCTATTCTTGGCTGGAAGCCCCCCTGGGTGAGGCATCCCACAGGGGTGTGAGCACCAGGGGGGGGAGCGTGGGGCCACATTGAGTGCCCATCGCACCTCATTTTGCTAGAACTCTGCATACAGGCAGAAACTGCAGAGAATTAAGTAAAAAACCCACAACATCTGTATATCAGGATGAAGTGAGGGTTTTTTTGTTTTGTTTTGTTTTCTTTTTTGGTATAGGGGCGCTTAACCTCTGAGCCACATCCCCAGCCCTTTTTTTGTATTTTAAGAGACAGGGTCTTGCTGAATTAATTAAAACCTCRGTAAGTTGCTGAGGCTGGCTTTGAACTTGTGATCCTCCTGCCTCAGCCTCCCGAGCTGTTGGGATTACTGCTTTGTGCCACCACACCTGGCTGTTCTGTTTTAATGAAAAAGGTCCTCGGAATGCGCCGTGTCCAGCAGATCACCACCTCACTTCCCATCCCTACCAGTYGAACGGTGGTCCAGCCTCAGTTCCTCTCTAGGTAGAACTTGCCTGTCTGGCACGTTCTTTGTGCAGCAGAGAAATGAGCTCAGTCAGCAGAAAGAAAGTCGGAGTCTCTCAGTCAGTTGTCAGTATTTTAAGCTCTCCAACATTAAGAGATGCAGTTCTCTGCTCGACTCTCAACAAACCAGAACATTCAGTTACCTGGAAAATCCCCATCCCTAAAACATTCCGGGAACCTCAGCCTCCTCCAAAAATAAACACAGATTCTGCATCCRGCCTGAGAGCCAGTCAGGGACTTGCCACTCTCGGAGCAGCCACAGCATGAAGGGTGTGTCTTCAAGAGGCTAGCCCCGGGGGTCTGGGTCCACTCCCACCCTGGCACCCCCCTGACTCACGCAGGCCCAGCCACTGTGTCAGGCGGAATTGACTGACTGCCCCGGCCAGTCCAGGCTCTGCTGAGCCCATCAGGGCAGGAACAATGAGGTGGCATCTCAAAGGCCCAGGCTATTTCTAAGGCTCATGGTTGAAGGCCCGCACCGGCAGCGATTATCATTTTAATTGCAAAGCCACCGCGACCTTTTATTCAGGGTGCAGGTTTCAAAGACCACGGCCTGAAAAGAGGCCACAGATGGGTCTCTGCCTGAGACTAGGAGGGGCCCACCCGACAGCCTTCTTTCTTGGTCTCTACAATCATACTCGCCCCCCAAAGAATCTGACCCTCAATTTCCAGGTCTGACTGCGGTCCCACCTCCTCTGGAGCCTCTCGTCAAAGCCACACTCTTTTCATTTTCTCAAGGGGTCACCCCTCCACTCCCCCCCCCTCCTGCCCTCCTACCTGGGACTCCTCGGGTCTCCTCGCTCCTTCCTCTGATTGGGTGTTCTGACACCACCTCCTGTGGAGTCCTGGGCTGCCGAGAGCCTTCCTGCTCCCCAGGGGACACACCCTGTGCTCCTTGGTGGGCTCCGGGATTGGCAGGGCTCTTTGGACTCGAACATGCTCCACACGTGTTGTTCCTGGCACTTGGTCCTCCCGTGGGCTCCCCGTTAGGTGAGCTGGCCGGAGCTGGCCCCGGTGGGGCTCCCACACAGTTTCTGGTTCCTGGTTTAGGGCTCCACGGTGTCATTCCCACAAATCCTCTGTGGCTTTAGACCGCAAATGCTCACTACCTGTGAGCGCTCATCTCCGCTTAGATCCTGTCCCCTGCTGGGGTTTGTGGTTTAACCTACTGTGACCAAAGCCAGAGCAGTCCCCCTTTTCCAGTGGTGGGTTTTGGGAGGTTGTGTTTGTTTTGATTTGGCCAGTGGTGGGGAGGAGACCCCGGGCCTCCAGCATGCTGGGCCAGCACCTTACCACTGAGTCACACCAGTGTTTTGTTTTTATTTTATTTACTTTTGGGTACTAGGGATTGAACCCAGGAGCACCTAACCACTGAGCCATGTCTCTAGCCCCTCTTTTATGTAGGGACAGGATCAGAGCTTCACCAAGTTTCTGAGGCTGGCCTCAAGCTTGCGATTCTCCTCTCCCAGCCTCCAGAGTTGTGGGGATTACAGGCGTGCCCCGCCTCGCCTGGCCGGTGTTTTGTTTGTAAAGACAGCAATGCTGAGGGGTCATGCGCACAGAGTAAAGTCCATCCTACCGCGGGGCCAGTTCTCAGAGCACTGGCCAGCACAGCGGATCTCTCCCCGGCATCGTAAGCTATGTGTTCTAGTAGGTTCTAACCAGCACAGCCTCCCTCCCTCTGTGGGCGCTTGCCGTCTTGTCCATGTCCAGAGCTGATGCCAAAATAACGCTCTTTCCCTCATCCTGGCCAGTAGGAGCCACTTCCCAACACGGCTTTGACCTTGGCCAGCTGCTCTGCCAAGGGAGTGAGTCCAGAGCTAGGGTGGCATCTCCTGGCGGGAGCGGGGCTGGCGAGTTTGAAAGGGGGCTCACTTGGTCCCCAGAACTGAGGTCATGGCTGAGTCAGGACAAAACCCGGGGGTCCGTCCCTCTGCATTCTGGCAAGGGGCCAAAGGCTGGAGGGCAAAGCTTTTCTTCTTGACCTGCCCTGAGCCCTGCCCCCACTGCTCAGGGTCCCCGTGGGGCAGGTTGAGGGGGTGGGAGTGGGGGCCTCCCTGGGGACAGGGACAACGTGAGATCCTTCACTGTGACCCGGCACTTAACGGCCAAGTGTTCACTGCTAACATCGGTGGCTGTTGGTTGAGGGACTGAGCATCTGAGGTTGGAGATGGGGGGACCCCATGGGCCTGGGAGTCTGAGGACAGTGGGAGGAGCCCCCGAGGGGCCCTGGTCTGCGGTGGCCTCACCTCCTCCCTTGTGTGCTTCCAGAACTACTTTGAGAGCTACCTGGCCGTGGCCTCCACTGTGCCCGCCTTGCTGTGCCTGGTGGTCAACTTCCTGCTTGTCAACAGGTAGGCCCTCCCCCAGGYGCCCCTCCCCGCGGCCACCCAGGTAGGGGGCAGCTCAGAGGAGTCCTCGCAGCTGGGCCTCAGGTCACTGAGCCACCAGGGCCTGGCCAGGGAGCTGGACTTCCACCTTCCAGCTGCACATGGTGACCAGGGCAGCAGCCAGGAGGGTGGGGACAGCAGGTTTCCTTCCCTCTCTCCTGGGGTCTGTGGAAGCTGAGCCACTGTCACTTCTGACAGCATCCTGCAGCTTCCGGCTGCCTAGAGGAGCCGCCACACCAGCTGATATGCCCGAGCCCTCACTAGGGGTAGGGACACTTTCTTTTTTTGGTACCAGGGATGGAACCACCCAGGGGTGCTGAACCACTGAGCCACACCCCCAGCCCCTTTTGGTATTTTATTTAGAGACAGGGTCTCACTGAGTTGCTTAGTACCTCACTTTTTCTGAGRCTGGCTTTGAACTCACCATCCTCCTGCCTCAGCCTCCCAAGCTGCTGGGGTGACAGGCTGCACCATAGCGCCCGGCTGAGAATTCCTGATATTACATTGGTGAGGGTTGGGAGAAGCTCCATGTGGGTGCACCACAGAGGAAGGGATGGTTAAAGAGAATAGCAAATAATCATGACCCAAAGACCCCCRAGGTGACTCTTGCCGTCCATTCTCAACTTGAGTTTACACAGGCAGTTGCCCTAGCAACGTCACCTACGTTTCCCTCAAGTGCTGCTAGGTGATAACATTGACTCCACTGTGGTCCAGGAACCTGGGCTTCTCTCTGGCGCAGCCCACTGGAACCTTCCGTCAGCGATGACAAATCTGTTGGGCTTGGCTCTGATCAATTTGTCGTGTCTCCCTGGATCCCAGGCTGGATCTCAGGCTGAACAGGATTCTCAGGCAGATTTGGGCTCAGGGAATGCCCTTGATTGATTAGTGATGTCTGCTCTGAGTGAAGAAGGAGGGGGCAGCCCCAGGCCTCCCGGGTGCTCATCCCCAGCACCGCAGCCTCCCCAAGTGTGCCGTCCTCTGGGCTGAGCCAGGGAGCCTGCTGGACAATGTCCCAAAGCGTGGTGGCTGGGGATAATAGCGGCAGTGAGTGTACCTTAACCCCTGGGGGTCAGCAGGGCTCTGCGGGCAGCACTGACCCGTTTTCACTCCAGCAGGCAGGGCTTAAGCCCCTTCCTCAGCTGTCCCCCTCATCTCTGTCTCTCACTTGTGGTCACTGCTCCATGCTTGACCTGTGGAGGTGTCCGGAAGTCCTCTCTGTGTCCAGGGCCCCCAGACCCTTCTTCCCCATGGCAAGCTGTGTGTCTGAACCTGCCTCGCTCTCCTGTTCCCCSGCTACCATCAGTGTCCTCCTGGGGCTGAGAGCAGGGGGGACACCCTGCAGAGATCCCGCCCCCGAGAGGGGAGGGTGGTGTTGGGGGCAGAGCCAGACCCTGGCAGCCCCCAGCGGGGGAGAGGCGGGGGTGGGGTGCGGCCATGGTAGTGGGAAGCCCCCAGGGTGGGCTCCAGGAGCAGGGGCTTCTGCCCAGCTGGGTGACCTGGCACACATGGATGGGCACTGCCATCCCCTTAGGTCCGAAGCCACCTTCTGAAACCTGACGAGGGTGATACCCCCTTGGCATCTCACTCAGGACGCACAGCCAGCCAGCGGGGAGGCCCTGGTGTGACCCTGGGGATCTGCCCTGGCCTGACCCGGATCTGGTGGGGGGGGGCTGGGCACTGCGGGAACGTGCTCCCAGCCCCGTCTGTTCCCAGGCTGGGAGAGGACCCTCTGGGGCTCGGCTGTTTCTTATTTAATGTGCGAGATTGAAATGTCTCCTGCTCTCCCTCCTGGAGCACCCTGGCTTTCTCTGACTGGCTCATCCATAATCGCCAAGTGTTTTATTATGTTAAATCTGCAGCATCATAAATACTTATGAGGAGGATTTACATTTTGGAGACTTATGAAGAAACTGTCCCCTGGGGTCCTGAGCCCTCCCTTGTGGTGGGGGGGCGAGGGGTGGGGGTGGGGAACCGGCAGCCTGGGAACCGTGGACGTCCCTCTCCAAGAGTCTTCACGTTGTGTGGCCTGCCCCAGGCTCCTGGGCTGTCATCTTGGCCATGCCTTGTCCCCAAGTGGAACTCTGACACCAGGGCACATTCTCCTGGACCTTCGCTAGTGTCCCAAGAGCATCACTCTCCCTGGGGCCACTTTCCTACCCTGGGGGAGGAAGAAACAGAGACAGGCAGTGTGCCCCCCCCGAGCTCTGGGGTGGGGTGGCTGAGCCCCCCACATTTCATAAAGCCTTATGGGCATTGGAAATGGCCTCTGGGATCCCCAAGGTCCTAGGGCAGTGGGCGGAGACTCTGGTGCAGTTGAGGCTGCAGATATCTAGGTGGGAAGGCACCTGTGCAGGTGAGG